GGTGTGTTACCTTCATGACATAACTGGAGATGGCTTACCCTCACATTCACATTCACATTCAACTTGCAGGAAAGGACAATGAGGAAGAAACAGTCCACTCCTCTCCTATAAGAGCTTGATCTGGAAGCTGCACTTATCACTGCTACCACAACCCTGTCCAGAATATGGTCATAAAGCCATGCTTAGCTGCCAAGGCATCTAGAAAATAATAGCTGTTAGCTGGTTGGCCATGACTTATTTTAATCTATAACTATTTCCTTCTATCTTCCTCTTACAATTGAGGCTCTACTTTTATCAAAACCTAGAACCTTCCACATGGGCTCTGGATTACACACTTTCCTGCCTTCTCAGGAATCTTGCATTCAAAATTAATTAATTTCTCTCCTTCTTCCTCCCCCTCTCATTTCTCTTTTATTTGTTTTCCCTTTCTCGATCATGATGCTTGCTCCCCTTGTTTTCCTCCCACCTGTCTTTTGCAGGCTGGCCTTTCCCTATCCAGACTTTAAATATGGTCTTTTTCAGATTTCTGATCTGGTTCCTCATTTATTCTTATTTAACACACTCTCATTAATTCTATGGTTTGCATTACTTCTTATGCAAACTGTGCATTCAACTTCCTACTGGAATTCCTACTTAGATGTCTAATAAAGCATCTGAAACTTACCATGTCCAAAAGGGAACAGATTCACTGGTGGGAGTTGCTATCTGATGGTTACTATTTTCTCTATGAAGTGGGAGGGCGGGTTATTTATTGTGAGTGAATGATGGTGTATGTGCATGTGTGCATGTGGGGTGTGTGTGTGTGTGTGTGTGTGTGTGTGACATGAAATGAGAGATTTTACAAGTCCAAAGAAAATTTGAAAAAAATATTATGTAAAATGAGAGAAAGAAGGTGATCAGAGAAACTTAGGAAAACTTCTGATCATTCTGGAAAGCATCATAGTATGAGCACCTAAATTCTGATGTCCAAAATCCCTGCTTTGAATTGTAGCTTTTTCACCTAGTAGTTTTGTGGCTTTGGGCAAGTTACTTAAATTCTGTCTGAGTCACAGTTTTTTTCATCTAAAATAGTAATCAATCGTATCGGACTTCAATGCAGAGTTCTTTGTGAGGATTAAAAGTAATGAATGTGCTTTGAACAGAGTAGGTAATCACCAAACAGTCCCTATCCAGTTACCAGAAACCTTATTCATTTTAATCTCATCCTTCTCCCTCACCCTCAACATGGAAGCATCCTCTAGATTCTGTTTGCCTCCTAAATATCTCTTGGATCCATCTTCTCCACTGCCTCTATGACTTAGGTCAAGGCGCTATGCTATCATCTGTCATCTGAGTTACTGTCATAGACTCCCAATGGGTCCTACCCCTTAAGTTGCTCTCCACACCAGCTGCCATAACAATTACCCCAAATCTTTCTAAAGGTTAACAAATTTCCAGTGCTTCCAATTCGTCCTTTCATCCTCGGGTGGCTTGCAAGGTCTGTATTTGCTACTTTCTTCCTGAGAGGTGTGTTAGTTTTCTGTTGCTACTATAACAAATTACCATGAATTTGGAAGCTTAAAACAACATCTTTTTATTAGGTCGCAAGCATGTGGGCCAGAAGTCTGGTACAGTATGGCTCGGTCCTCTGCTTAGGGTGTCACCAGGCTGCGGTCAAGATGTCAAGCAAGTGAAATTCTTTTCTGGAGGCTCTGGGGTGAACATCCATTTCCAAGCTCATTCTTGTCATTAACAGAATCTAGTTCCTTGTGGTTGTAGGACTATAGTCCCTATTTTCTGGCTGGCTCTCAGCCAGAGACTGCTCTCAGCTAGAGGCCAATCTCAGGCACCTGCTCCTGAGGAGCAATCCCGGCTCCTTCCTCAAGCCAGCCACAGCCCCTTGCATTCCTTGCCATGGGACCCCCTCCATCTTCAAGCCAGCAATAGTGTGTCAAGTCCTTCTCTTTTTTCAAATCTCTCTGACTTCCTCTTCTGCTGCCAACCAGAGTAAATTCTTGTGATTTGGCTAGGACCAGTTGGATAATCTCTTTATCTTGAGGTCAACTGATTAGTAACATTAACTACATCTGCAAAATCTCTTTTGTCATATAGCATCATCATGGAAGTAGCATCTTATCATATTTATAGGTTCTACCCACAAGTGAGAATCCTGAGTGCCATTTTGTAATTCCGCCTACCACAGGAGGAGAAGCCAGAAAAACATCCCTGAGAAATGCCAATGCCTTGAGCTGAGATGAGAAGGATGATCAGGAGTTAATTAGATAAGGAAGGAAAAGTTTCCAGAGAGCATGTGCAAAAGCCAGGTAACCAGAGGACACAGATCCCCCAAAAAAATGAACTAAAGAAAGGCCAGTGTGTCTACAGGGGAGAGAACAAGGAGGACAGTGACTTAAAATGAGGTAGTTACAGAGGCCACTAGGAGCCAGACCATGCAGGTTTCAGAGACTCTGTGAAAAGGCTTTCTCCATCCCCAGAGCAGAGGTCATTTGAGTGGCACAATCAGATTTGTGTTCTGCACATATCACTCTGACTCTAAGGTGGAGGATGGAGGTAAGGGGGCATCTGTAAAATGTGGTGGACCACTGAAGAAGCCACAAGAGCAGTGCAGAAACAGTGCCATAATGTTCATGCAGATAGAAGCAGACCGAGTCAAGGAACGCTCAGTGGCTAAAATCAACAGGACTTCATGATTGATTGACTATGGGAGGGAGGCAGTTATGTTCCCCAGGAAGCAGAGACTAAGACAGAGATTACTGTGGAGGATGTTTACTAAGGAGCGCTCTTGGAGTCTACACGTATGCAAGAGCAAGGAAAGGAGAACTGGGTGAAGGGAGAAGCTGAGCAGCAATTCAGTCCCCACAAAGGCTTTGGTCAACCCCATGAGGAGCTGTGCATGTCTCTCAGAGTTGTCCTCTGTTGGGGTGAGGAGGCTGAACCTTTGTACCTCTGTGCTGAGCAGTCACTGGATGTAGGATGCCTCAGGAAGGGAACGTGACCTTGCCTGAGCAGGCTTTCCTGAGCTCAGCCAACTCCCAAAGCAGCTGGCAGTGCAGTGCAGAATAAATACCTCATTTTTGGAGAGGAGTTTGGACTTTTTGTCACAGCCTCTACTACAGGTAAAAGAGCATAAGGGAGTAAGGCAGCCAGGCTGATTCCTAAATTTCTGATTTCTGCATCTTAGCAGATATACAACCATATATTGTAATCATTGGCTTACCTGTCATTTTCCCCCAGGAGGGTGGGAGCTACTCGGGCACAGACCGTATCAAACAGCAAGTACACAGCCCTATGGCTGGCACATACTTTGCTGAATAAGTGAATGTCTGTCTACTCCTATTTCCACTCCTCTCTCTCCTACATTTCCTTTGCTCCCCACCCCCACACCCTACCGCCATCCAATGTGGGAAAAGTCCAGCAGGTTATCTGAGGTGCCACCTGTGCTGGAGCTGAACAAACAGCAAATCAGGCTCTTCTGGTCCAGGGCACTCTGATGGGGAAGGCAGGCAGTGCCAGGAGGAGGGGAGTTAGGGGAGACAGGTGACGACATCCCCACCCACCTCAAGACTAAATCCTCCTTCAATGTCCCAGCCCCTGTAAACTCAGTGCTAGCTGGAACAGGTCCTCTCCGAAAGATAGCTTGCATAGGGCTCTCTGAATTCCCCGTAAACTCAGACCTCATCCACAGTCTAATCTGGTCTTTGACTGATGCTCCCACCTCCAACAGCTACTGCTGGGGGCCGCAGAGTGGAATTTCAGGGTCATATTGGAGTTTCCTTGGAATGGAGGAGAATGGATAGCCAGCAGGGCAGAAATCTTAGTGGAGGCAAGTCCTGCCCAAGGAACCGAACACACCTCAGTTCTGTGCATGTCCCCTTAAGCTTTGCACCGGCTGCACCCCAGTGATCTGCTCCCCTTCTGGTCCCCTCCCATGGGAACCTGACGCCCCACACAGGCTGCTCCACCTGCACTAAGAGCAAACAGGGAGCGTCATTGTGTCGGTGAGGGTGGGCGCTGCCTGGAGACCACGAAAGCCAGGGCCTCCTCCCCTCTTGTGCCAGTGCTGGGCCAGAATTAGAACCAAACCCCACCATCACCCCACCCCTCACTGGTTTATTCTAAGCAGTTCTCACTGCTACCCAGGCTGCCCTCACACCAAAGTCAGACTCTTCCTCTGGGCAGCCCTTTTGCCTGTCAAGGTTCCCCCGAGAACAAATGCTGCCCCCACATCCTTGCCCGCTGAGGACGGTTCTTTGGAAGCTTTGGGTAGAAACCTGGGTGTTGGGCCCTGAGGTAGGAGGTGAAGGGTGCGCGGGCAGATGCAGGGGCGACCCCAGCCCTTTGGAGAGGAGATGCAAGAACTACGGTAGCGATGGTGTCCAGGTCACTGGGGCCACTGAGGCATAGTATAGTAACCGTGGGTGATGCCACCGTGTTAGATGCCACCCCCACATCCCCTGACCCACCGGGGAAAGATGCTAGATCCCACGGCGGCCGCTCCCTCTGACCCTCCTTCCGCCACCCAGCATCTCCCTCTCCGCCACCCCTCCATCCACCCGTACTGCTACCCTCGCCAGCACACACACACACACACACACACACACACACACACACACACGGACGCACACACTCACACTCCCAAGAATTCTGCCGAACCAGGACGGTGGTGAAGGGGAGTGGGTGGGAAGGAAATCTCTAAGAGAAGACCGGAGAGGCTAGGGAGGGGGCGAGCCTGGAGGACTGTCCCTGTGGGTGAGGGGAGCGCAGAAGTCCTGAGCGTGGGAGGGGGGCGGAGAGTCACCTGGCGGGACCGAGGCGGACGAGCCTGGAGGGAGGCGAGCCTAGGCGGGGCGAGCAGAGGAGGAGCGGCGGGGCAGGGGCCAAGGTTGGGGGCGGGGACCAGGCGGGGCGGGAGCCTCCGCCCGAACCGCGGCGCGAGCAGGTGGAGCCGCAGCGGGAGCCCGCCGGGCCGAGCTCCGGGAGGCAGCGGCTGGGCCGGGGCCATGGAGCTGCTAAAGCTGAACCGGAGCGCGCAGGGGTCCGGACCCGGGCCGGGGGCTTCCCTTTGCCGCCCCGGGGGGGCCCTCCTCAACAGCAGCGGTGCGGGCAACCTCAGCTGCGAGCCCCCTCGCATCCGCGGAGCCGGGACACGAGGTGGGTGCCTCCCTAAGCCCCCTCCACCAGCTCCTTCTCGCTGCACCCCACACTGATAGAGATAAAGGCCCCCACTGCCTCCTCAAACGCCTACACCATCCCCTCATAGTACTCCCTCAGTCCCTAAACAGCTCCCCGGACACTTCTGCCCCCCCGCACCCCCTCCACGGCTCATAAAAACTCCATCACAGCTTCACACCACCTGATCAGAGCCCCTTCACACCCTGGTCTCCTGGTCGTACCCAGAGCCACTGGTCATCCTCAAACACAGCCTCCTGCCCAACACAGCCCCCTCCTAGACACAGATGGCCAGGAAGCGAGGACCTCCTCTTGCCTATCCTTCCAGGTCTCTTCCTTTTAAATCCAGTTCACAGAGCCACAGCGGGGAAGGAAAGGAAGAAAAGAAGGCAAGACTGGGAAAAAGAAGAGGGCTGGTTGAGGGAGGGAGCACTATGGAAGGCTTGAATGGGAAGTTAGAGCTATATAATCTCCTGTGTCCTCTGTCCCACCCCTAGCCTTCCCAAAAGAGATCCTCAAACCGGAATTAGGCTGGACATTGGGGGCTGCACCCTAGAGATGCCAGTCTCCATTTCACTCCTCCTCAAATCCTCCTGCCTCCCAAAGGGGAACTCTAATCAAAGCTCTGTCCCCTCTCTTTTTCTGTCTCCAAGCACCCTCTCCAACCTGCCTTTCCTTAGGTTTCCTCCTCCTAGAGCCTGGCTGCCCCCTTCATCTCCTATCTCTTGTGCCACCATCTCCCCCACCCCCACTGCTTCCACTCACTCAGTCCCCAAAATGACTTTCACTCCTCCCACGGGCCAACAGCCGCATTTTCTCCACAACCCAGCTCATGATATATGTTTTCCCTTCCTGCACCTTTTCTTTCCTTAAATGTCTTCTGGACACCTGCTGTTGTCACTGAACTAGGTGCTGGGGACACAGGGATGAAACAGACCCAGTCTAGACCCTCATCGGTCCATAGTCAAGTGCAGAAGGGAGACAAACCAGTTGGAAAATCACAGTCACTCTGAGAAGTCCCAGGAGAGGGTCTGAATTGTGGGCATCCAAAGGAGATGGGATCCAAGAACTTCATAGACAAGGGAATCCAGGAGCTGGGTCTTGAAGTTGGAGTTCAGTAGGCAGAAAAAGGAAGCAGGGGGATTCTAAGAGAGGGAGCAGTGCTGAGCAGAAGGAAATTATTCCACGTTCAAGAAGGGGAAATGGCAATAAATTTTAATTTGAGTATTTATCCCACAAAATAATGTATATGCTTTCTCAGACCAGTTTTTACACACTCTCACTTAGATTGCTTCATTCCACAAATATTTATTGAACCAGAGAAAAAAATGAACACAGTTCCTATTTCATGGAGTTCACAGTTTAGTGGGAGAGCCAGACAAGTAAGCAGGGAATTGCAGCACAAAGTGGGATGTGCCTTAGATTAAGGCTGTGGGAACACAGAAGAGGAGCTTTAGTCTAGCTTAGCCTTGGGGGTCAAAGTGGGCCTCCTGAGAAGGTAATTGAAGAAAAATTTAAAAAGACAAAGGAAAGCCAGACAAGCGAAGGGGCAGGAAAGGCAAGAAGCATTCTAAGCAGAGGAACAATATGTGTAAACGCCCAAAGTTAAAATCCATGGTACTTTCGTTCAGTGTGTCAGTTTCTGAGTGCCTGAAACATACATCAAAAGAGAGGAAAAATGAACACTCAGGATGAGCACCAACCTAGAGGGTTTACAAAGAGCCTCACAGACCTGGCTAAGGAGTGTAGATTTTTATCCTGAGGATGATGGGAACTACTGAAAGACTCCGTAGTACAGCCAGGATTAGTTCTATAGTGTAGAAGATGGATTGGAGGACAAGACATGAAAGGGTGGGGGATGGGGTGGACACTTTAGAAGGCTATTCTGTTTCTCTGATAAAAGATGATATGGGCTTGGACTAAGGTTTTGGCAGTGGGGATGGAGAGAAGTGGATGGATTCGAGAGGCACTTCTGGAAGTGGAATCAACAGAACTTGGTAGGGATTCATTAGAAATGGAGAGGGAGGAAGAGGTCAAAGGATGACATCCAGGTGTCTGGCTTGGACAATTAGATGGATGTTGGTGCTATATCATGAGAAAGATAGCAAAGGAACAGAAACAAATTTGAAAGAGAAGAACTATAAATTCACTTTGGAACCCACTGAGTTTAAGTGCTGTTGAGATACCCAGGTGGGGGTAGCCAGTAAGCTGTTGAATCTGGTGGTCAGGAACTTAGGGGAGGGGTGCAAGCTGGGAATACAGACTTAAAAGGTCTTTGCCTACAGAAGGTAATGGAAGCCACAGGAATAGCTAAAATCACACAAAGATGACAAGATGAAAAGAAAACAGGTCCCGGGGCAGGACCCTGAAAAAGACTGAGATTTAAAAGCCAGGCAAAAGATGGAGAGCCCATGATGAAACCATCAGAGGGACAAGGCAAGGGAAAGATTTCAAGCAGGGTGGGATAAGTGATGTCATATGGTGCTGATATAAGTCGAATAAGGACAGAACAGCATCCTTCAGATCCAGTAACAAAGAAGTCCTTAAGAGGAGTTGTGGGTATTAAGGCCTGACTACAGTTGGTTGAGGTTTGGGAGGGTGCATGAGGAGGTTATGAGAAGTGAACCAGGGTGTGTAGATGAAACTTTCCAGAAATTTGGGAGGGAGAGAGAAGCAAAGAAAAAATAGGATAGTGCCAGAAAGAGCATGGGATTGAGGAATGGTATGTGGTGGGGGTTGTCTTTGGGTATATGTGTGTGCAGGAGAGGCAAGAGTCTTTTTAAAATGTTGATGCAGCATGGGCCAAGACAGAGGAAAGGAAGGTCAAAGGCTCAGCAGAGAGCAGGGACAGTCCACAGAGCAGGGGACCCTGAGAAAGCAGAACATGAAGTGATTCAGAGCACAGGTGCAAGAATTGGCCTTGCTTATCTGGATGTTGTTACCTACACAGAGTGGATGTTACCCAGGCAGTCAGAAGTTACCCACAAAGACTGTTTGCCACTCACTCAGATACTACATGTTAGCCAGGCTCACTCCAGTGTTACCAGTAGAAATGTGGATGTTACCCACATTATTCTTATATGTTACCCACATAGACCAGAGTGCTAATGCTCACTCAGATGCCACCACTGAAAACCAGGTATCACCCACAGTTACTTTAACAATGCCCATAGTCATTTAGATGTCACTCACCCATCAGACACACTTGCTTTCATTTTATCATCCACACATAGATATCACCCATGCTCACTTAACTAACCTTTTCCAGATATCACCCATAAAATCATGGTTGTTAGTCTCACACATTCAGATATTAACCACAAAGACTCAGATATCACGTGTGTTCACTCAGGCACTGAGTTATTTTACTCAGATTGATCTCTCACTTCACATCTTAACATGTTAACATCTCACATCCATGCTCACCTAAATATTGACTACACATACTTGAATATTACTTTTGCTTACTCAACTACTACCATCATCATTTGGATATTCCCCCATTCAGTTCAGACCTCTGAATATAATCCACATTTTCTGAAGATGTCATCTACCAAACGAGATGTTATCCGCAGACATATTACCTCTGCACAGTCTAAATTTGCCCACTCTCAGTCAAGCATTATCTACAGACACGTAGTTAAACCCTTCTCAGACCTTGTCCACAAAAATATGTATTACTCTCACCCACCTAGATATTATCTCAAAAACTAAATTATTATCCAATGTTCACTCTGATATTACCTGTACATCCTTCCATATTATTTCTGCTCCTTCAGTGAGTATCCATTGACATTTGGATATCCCCATTTGCCCAGCTATCATCCACAATCAGTTGCATGCTGTCCATGATCACCACAGACACATGGGTATTGCTTTGATGTCTGTGTTCATGGGTGACCAGATCCAACATGCCAGTGGAAGGCAGGATTTGAGGCATCAGCAGCTTCGGTGTTGTTTCTTATAAAGTCCTGGTTTTTGTGTTTGGCACATTATCTGGATTTTTGTGCTCATACTTCTCTGCCACCATCTGGAAAGAACAAATGCAGATCTTTTAGACCCCAGAAACAGAAATGAACTGTCACAGTCTTCTGAGTTCTCTGGCCCGGCAGGATGATGCCCAGAGGTAGTCAAGGCACTAGAATCTATAAGGTGCCACTCCCATTCTTCCACCCCTACCTTAACTTCTTAGTTGACGAAGCCACCATGATCACTCCTATTCCACCACACAAACACACATGGATGCATACACATAGGCAAAAACACACACACAAGTCTTCATTCTAATTGCTTTTTAGTGACTTTTGAAAAAACTAATAGGCTATTTTTACAGTAGTTTCAGGTTTACAGAAAAACTGAATGGAAAGCACAGGGAGATTCCCACCCCCCCCCCCATATACACACAGAGAGACACACACAGTTTCCCCTACTATTAATACCTTGCATTAATGCAACACATTTGTTACAATTGATAGGCCAATATTGATACATTATTAACTAAATTCCATAGTTGACATCAGGGTTCACTTCTTGGGTTGTATATTCTATGGGTTTTAAAAGATTTTTTTTAATGTTTGTTTATTTTTGAGAGAGAGAGAGAGAGAGAGAGAGAGAGAGAGAGAGAGAGAGAGAGATAGAATGTGTAGGCATGCACAAGCAGGAAAGGGGCAGAGAGAGATGGAGACAGAATCCCAAGCAGGCTCTGCGCTATCAGTACAAAGTCCCATGCAGGGCTAAAACCCATGAACCATGAGAGAATGACATGGGCTGAAGTTGGACACTCAACTGACTGAGGCTCCCAGGCTCTCCTCTATTCTATGGGTTTTAACAAATGTATAGTAACATCTATCCACCATTAGAGTACTGTACAGAATAGTTTCACTGCCCTAAAAGCCCTGTGCTCTACCTTTTCATCCCTCCTACCCTCTCCCTGGGCCACTGGCTCTAAGAGTGCTTTTAATTAATCTTTTTCACATCTCCTAACTGTTCAACAGCAAAGACTTGGAGAGATAGTAGTGGCTAGAAATAAGCTAATTGCTGGGAATGTGCAGAAAAATAGCAAAGTGTTGTACGATCGCTGGGCAATTTTACTGGAACTTTGTCCCTCTAGTTTTCAGGAGTCCCCAGGCAGATTGGGAACTTGATAAGAGTGGGCATCATCTCATCTTTCTGCTCCACCAAGTTCAAAGACACACATGGGATACATCAGCTGGGTGAATGAATGAGAAATGTGCTTTTCATACTTCAGGGTGTGTACCGACTTGAGGTGTGGTTATTGATTCAAGAACTAGTTGAAGAGAGACATCCAGAGGAGGATCTGAAAAAGATGATAGAATGGAGAGATTAAGGAAAGTGGAGGGGTGGGGGCGGTAGACTGGAAGGAGACAAAAAGTACAGGATAGAATACTAGCTCACACACACCTCAAATTTGCTACACATAAGCCTTCCTTGCAGAAAGGGAGACATGTCTCCAAAGAGACAGAGGCAGAGAGGAGGGCATGCTGGAGCTTTAGAGGCACAGAGGTGAAGCATGGATGGGGCAGGACAAAGCAGGTGCATTTGTGTGGAGAGTGAAAGAGATTCGTTCAAGATTCATTAGCCAGCATGTGTGAACACCTCCTATTTGCAGGACATTATGCTAAGTGCCAGGGATATGCAGAAGAATGATCTAAGCATTGCCCCTGTCCTCAAGAAGCTCATAGTCCAGTGGAGGAGATAGAGAATTAAACATAATAATACAGTGAGCAATGCCACACTGGAGTACAGAGAGGCAGAAAGAGGCACTGAGATTGAGATTTGATTGGGGAAGGAAGCAGCAATGATGAATGACAGAGGGGTGAGGGAGCAGCAGGAGGCAAAGCATTTTAGAGATCTGGAGACTCAGCTGCTATTCTGATTCAACACCTGACTTGACTGTGTGATCTGAGAACTAATGTCACTGCTGGGTTCTGTTCAGGAATCTCTTGTAGATAGCATGCACTTGATGCCTAGAGCTGTTTCTGAATAAGTTGGTTATCATTATAAGAACAGTTTAATTCAGAGTCTAAGACAAGAGTCAATGTATGGGGCTGCAGAAGGGGGAGCTGCAGCTCTGAGCCCTTCCCTCCCCACAACCTGGAAGGCTCTGGCCCTGCCTTCTCTCCCTTCAAGCTCTCATGTCTCTCACGCTGAGGCCATGGGCTTGGGTGACTGAGTCCAGCTTAATTCAATTCACTTTTGTTTGGGTCTGCTTGGTTGTGATATAGAGGCCCAAAGATGGATCCATCCCCTAACAGACAATGACACAAATGAATGGGGTCAGCCCTCTGTCTAGCCCAGCAACACTAGTGTCCTTCCTGTGAGCTCCCACAACACTTTGTATATCCCCCAGCTTTACTCCTTATCCCACTGTGTGGCAATTATCTATTTATGTACCCAAATTTCCCTCTGGACTGTGAGCTCTCAGATGGCAGGGAATTTGTCATGTCCATCTCTTTGTCCTCACTGCCTAACACAGAGGGAGTCCTCTGTAAATGTTTGTTGAGTGAAAATGAATGTTAGGAGATAATTAAAATACAAGGTAGAAAATAAAAAGCATTCTGATAGATGTGTAAGGAACATTCATGGGTCAGAGGAAGGGGAGATTAACTCCAAATGAGGCATCCAGAAAGGCCTTACAGAAGAGGGGGCAGTTAATCTGAGTCTTGATGGGCAGTGGTGTATAGGAATTTACCAGATACAGAAAACCAATTTGTGATGGGGGGAGGGTATTAGTGGCAGTTGGTGAAAGAACATTCCAGGCTGAGAAATCAATGTTAGCAATGGAGGAAGTCATGAGGGTGCATGATGCCTTCAAGAAAGTGAGTCATCCAGGGGCACCTGGGTGGCTCAGTCGGTTAAGCAGCCGACTTCGGCTCAGGTCATGATCTCGCGGTCCGTGAGTTCGAGCCCCGCGTCGGGCTCTGTGCTGACAGCTCAGAGCCTGGAGCCTGTTTCAATTCTGTGTCTCCCTCTCTCTGACCCTCCCCCATTCATGCTCTGTCTCTCTCTGTCTCAAAAATAAATAAACGTTAAAAAAAATTTTTTTTTTTTTAAAGAAAGTGAGTCATCCAGTGGCTTAAGTGGGTGCATTGCAAGAGGAGGTGAGACAGGACAGTTCTCAGAGGATCTGGAAGACACGCTAAAGGGTTGCAGACAGTACAGGGAAGGTGAAGAGGGATTTTTTGGACAATAAGGACCTGACCTGACCTATGTTTCAAAAGGTAGTGGGTGATCAATAGTGTCAAATGCTACAGGGAGATCAAGTAGAATAGGCTGAGAAGAGACCTTTGGACTTGGCAGGTAAAGCTTGAGAAGTGTCTTGAGAAGTGATCTTGAGAAGTGTCCAAACAGTGATGGGGGGTGGAGGGGAGATGGATCGGGCACTGGACTGTAATCGACTGAGGAGTGAATGAGAAAATGCAAATAATCCTTTCAAGAAGCTTGGCTGTAAAGAGAAGGGAGAATTTGAAGCAAAGCTTGAGAAGAGACAGACCTTCTCAAGGAGAGGAGGAGTTAAGCCAATTTCCCTAAGCCTCATGGGGTTAGAAACCTAAAGGATTCAAGTGAACCCATCCGCTGAGTGGGAGGAGGTATTCCTGGGATGCAGAGGGATCTAGCTGGGTAGGAGATGTGGGGAATAAGTGGGCTTGGAGGGTCTGGCTGAGTGGGAGCCAGACTCCTTGCTGCCACCCCTCTGTTTTCCTACCCAGAACTGGAGCTGGCCATCAGGATCACCCTTTATGCAGTGATCTTTCTGATGAGTGTTGGAGGAAATGTGCTCATCATCGTGGTCCTGGGACTGAGCCGCCGCCTGAGGACTGTCACCAACGCCTTCCTGCTCTCACTGGCAGTCAGCGACCTCCTGCTGGCTGTGGCTTGCATGCCCTTCACCCTCCTGCCCAATCTCATGGGCACATTCATCTTTGGCACAGTCGTCTGTAAGGCGGTTTCCTACCTCATGGGTAGGTGAGACAACCCCCTGCTCCCCTCCTTACCTAAAGTTCTTGCTGCCCATAGGGGTCTTTCTCAGTCGGGCCTAAGCAAATCACTGGTTGAGTATGTAGTACAAGTTTCCTGAATGACCCCTTCCTCTTCCCTTGTTTAGGGGTGTCTGTAAGCGTGTCCACACTAAGCCTTGTGGCCATCGCCCTGGAGCGATACAGTGCCATCTGCCGACCACTGCAGGCACGAGTGTGGCAGACACGGTCCCACGCAGCTCGTGTGATCATAGCCACGTGGATGCTCTCTGGACTGCTCATGGTGCCCTATCCCGTGTACACCGCCGTACAGCCAGTAGGGTCCCGTGTGCTGCAGTGCGTGCATCGCTGGCCCAGTGCACATGTTCGCCAAACCTGGTGAGGGCACCCATTCCTGGGAATTCCTCTCTCCATCTCCATCAGCTGCTTACTACCATTCCCCAGAATCTTCCTCCAGCTGCTCCAATACTCTGATTCCCTCTCCTCACCCACCACCCTGGGATTCCCATTTGGGGTCCCTCCCCAGTTCTCTAGCCCTTCCCAGCAGGACCCCTAAATCCTACTTCTACCTCAGGGGCCTGGTCACCAGCCCTAGAAAGGATCCCTTGCTCTTCTTCCATCTGTGATTACAGGTGGACAGATACCCGCGTGATTGATCTGCTCTGTCTCCAGGTCCGTACTGCTGCTCCTGCTCTTGTTCTTTGTCCCGGGTGTGGTTATGGCTGTGGCCTACGGGCTCATCTCCCGCGAGCTCTACTTAGGGCTTCGCTTTGACGAAGACAGTGACAATGAGAACCAGAGCCGAGTCAGAAGCCAAAGAGGGCTGCGGAGCGGGGCAGGACCAGGTGGGTGATATCCAGCTTCCCCTCCCGGCCCCCACCCCTACCACCGGCCTTGGGAAGGGGCGGAGCCTAGAGTGGGTGGGGCAGAAAGGAGCCTGACACGCAGATGCTGGAAATCGGGGTCTGGTGGTTCTTGGGCTGGAGGTTGAGAGGACTCAGCCTGCTGCTCTGACTGCCTACCCTCTGTACTCAGGTTCTGCCCAACCCAATGGGCGTTGCCGGCCGGAGACCGGGCTGGCTGGAGAGGATGGTGATGGCTGTTACGTGCAGCTTCCGCGCTCTCGTCAGACCCTGGAGCTGTCCGCGCTGACGGCGCCCACACCTGGGCCAGGATGTGGCCCCCGGCCCTACCAGGCCAAGCTGTTGGCTAAGAAGCGCGTGGTGCGGATGCTACTGGTGATCGTTGTGCTTTTTTTCCTGTGTTGGTTGCCATTGTACAGTGCCAACACGTGGCGTGCCTTCGACAGCTCTGGTGCGCACCGCGCGCTTTCGGGAGCGCCCATCTCTTTCATCCACTTGCTGAGCTACGCCTCAGCCTGTGTCAACCCCCTGGTCTACTGCTTCATGCACCGTCGCTTTCGCCAGGCCTGCCTTGAGACATGTGCCCGCTGCTGCCCCAGGCCTCCACGAGCTCGCCCCAGGCCTCTTCCAGATGAGGACCCGCCCACCCCCTCCATCGCTTCACTGTCCAGGCTGAGCTACACCACCATCAGCACGCTGGGGCCTGGCTGAGGGGTAGAGAGGGAGTGGGGGCTGAGGCGGAACACACCAACTCCTACAAGTAGGGACCCATCCAGACACACGAGAGACACAGACCCACTGACACAGGAGACTGACACCCAAAAAGCATGGACTAATCCCAACACACACACAAAAGTGGCTTACCTGACACAAAAGAAACAAACCAGATCCCCACACAGGAAATAAGGCACACTCTTGATATGGGACCAAGCCTGGCACATAGAGAAACAGGGCACTGACTTTAGACACACACAGACACAGCATCCCTAGCAATGGACTATCCATACATAGTGGAAATTCTGAGAGAGGCTGGCCTGCCTCTCATATACACATAGTAATGGCACTGATTCTTTAGGGCTCTGGAGCCTGGCACGGTACTGACTCCTGAGATGCTCCAAGCTGCCCGCCCACCCCCCCAGTTTGACCTCACAGTGCCCTTCCCCATTTCAGCACTGAAAAATACCAACCAACCTAATCTCACATCTCCCTGACCAACAGGCTGTTTTGCACTGAAAAGTCCCTTCATTCCTTTCCAGTTAAATTCTATGGCCCTGACCCTCCTCCATCACCCAAACTCTTCAAGAAATAATAAATGACTTGGCTTCCTCCTGAACTTCCTTTCTGGACTTTTTGGGGGGGAGGGGCAGGTGAGGAGGCACGGGATTTTGTAGAATTCTCCCTCTTGGGTCCTTCTTCCATGGTCTCTCCTGTGCATGACCCCCTGCCAAAATGCCCATGGTCTGAGGCTAAATGGGGATGTGGGTATTCTGTCTGGGTTGTCATCCTGGACCCACCTACACACTAGTGTCATACATAGTAGCTGGGGATGGGGGTGGCAGGCAGAATATCCATGACACATCATGATTCCTAAGCATTCTCCTAAAGTGGTGCCATTGCTAAGGTACTATATTAATAGGTAATTACTAAAATGTTATTGAAATGTAAGTAGAAGCACTATATAATAAGACTCAGTTTATTCAATGTGTGTTTCAAATACCAGGACTCAGATCATAAGTGTACAAGTTAAAGAGTAGGAACTTTTTTAATGCACTCTTCTCTGGTGTCAGAATCTGGCCAAGCTTCTACCCCGTGGAAGCACCTTTACTGGCCAGCAACAAAGGTGGGGAGAATGCTGGATCTGAATAAGAGGAATCCCAGAGCCCAGGCTTCCTTTTGACTATGAGACTGATCCAGCCCCAGAGAGAGGCAGAGACAGCAACATCATCCCTTCGCACACACAATGACAGGTAGGGAAGAACAGATGACCTCACCAGGGATATACATGGATAATCAGAAGTATGATAGAGTGAGAGGGTTTCTTGACACTTTGTCTTGTAACAGATGGGAAAATAGAGACCCAGAGCAGGAAAGAAAGCTGTTCAAGGTCATACAATAAATTAGAACAAGACAGAAATAATCCTATTGAAGTAGACACTAAGCTCAGATGGGAAACAAGCCATACCCATCATGAGGCAGACCCAAGTTTTGTGGGGCCTGGAGCTTATAAAACCGGGTGCCCTTTTTAAGAAAAAGAATACAAAATGACAGATACAAAATTGCCAGGACACTGACCAGGGCCACGGAAGGCGCCTATGCAGTAAGAAGCCCAGAGATTTAAGCCTCGTTAACCTCACAGCCAGTAACACCTCTAACTCCACCCACTAACTAGGCTGGACAAAGGCCAGGTGAAGGACAATGAGAAAGGAGAGTGGTCTTTTGTTTACCAGTGCTGAGGCTGCTCCCATCCATCCTTTCTACAGGGCCCTGGGCTGCAAGAGGCAGGATGCAGGAAGAAAAGGAGGGAGAAGGCGTTCCAAGCTGTCAACTACAACAGTGCAGGTTAAAAATAGAATCCCAGCTGGTCTGACTTACTGGAGGCAAGATATCGGGCCTTTCTTTCTCATGCCAACTTTTTCAGGGGCGGAAGTAGGGTTGCCCACAGGCTTTACAGCACTCTGAAGGAGATTGCTGATGAAGGCCCATCAGGAGCTGGGCCCTGGGCTCCGGATGACCACCAGATGGCAGTGGGAAGCTGGGTGGGGTCGGGCTCCAAGTCCAGTGTGAGCTGAAGTACCTGTGGCCCAGGGATAGCCTAAAAGGTAGCACAAAAGCATGGCCTGAATAACACCATTTCGCACACAGTGCTGCCCTTTGGTCTACCAGATACTTACACATCCATCTCCTTACCCCCTCCCCCAAGCCCTGTCTAGTTACCAGATATGGAATCTCAGGGACCTCCCATCCATTTTCTGTCTCTTAAAATCTGTCAAACATTTCAGGTCCAAATTTAATATCGCTGCCTCCCAGAAGTCCTTCTTGGTCATCCTCACAAAGCTTGTCTGCTCCTGTAGTACTTACTGCTTTCTCTCTTCTATCATATTGACTTGTGTTCCTGCCTGATTTCCCATACTGGGCTGGGAACAGCATAATGTGGTGAGAAAATGACAGCCTGGGCTAGAAGGCGGGGTGACAGAGGGGGTGGGAAATGTGGAGCTTCTCAGTGCAGCGTGACAGTCATCTTACATATACCAATTCACTTCATTCTCTCCTACACAACATTTCTCTTTGTTTGACAGAAAAGGAAGGTGAAGCTGAGAAAGCTTAGTGGACTTACATGAAGTCCTGAGGCAACACTGAGCTCAGGTGTCTGCTCCCAAAACCTTTTCTTTTTCCAGGCATGCTGCATTGTCTTTCAAGGCTTAAAGACCTGGGTTCCAGTAGACCTGGCCTGCCTTTTAAAAGTTGATTTTGTGCAAGTTCTTTCAGTGAGTCTCAGTCTCAGCTATAAAACAAAAATAATTACATTAACTTCTGTGAAATGTGATTTATAATAAGAAATACACGTTGGGTCTTTACCCCCTCTCCAGGCACAGAGTTCCTAAAACCCTTGGAATTTCCTAAGTGATGAGAGCCCAAAAGGTGCTTTTTGACTTGTTGATGAACTGACTTTCCTAAAGCCTCTAGCTCACTTTAAGAACAGAGAGGGAGGCAAACCTTAAGAGACTTAACTACAGAGAACAAACTAAGAGTTGCTGGAGGAGGGGGATGGGTTAAATGGGTGATGGGCACTAAGGAGGGCACTTTTCAGGATGAGCCCTGGGTGTCATATGTAAGAGATGAATCACTGGGCTCTACTCCTGAAGCCAAGACTACACTGTATGTTAACTAATTTGAATAAAAATAAAAATAAAGAAAGAACACATTAAGAAATCTGCTGGCTCAAAAGAAGGAAGTGTTATCCTACAGGAACATTCCATCTGTTACTGGAAATAGCTAATCTCCTTTGCTGACTGGTTTTATATATCAGTTGTATGGGTTTATACAGCTATTTATTTAGTTTTTAGGTTTATTTATTTTGAGAAAGACAGAGAGAGTGAGCGGGGGGAGGGGCAGAGAGAGAAGGAGACAGAGAATCCGTGCTGTCAGCACAGAGCCTGATGCTGGGCTGGTACTCATGAACCGTGAATCATGACCTGGGCCGAAACCAAGAGTTGGATGCTAAATGGACTGAGCCACCCAGGTGCCCCCAGTTGTATGGGTTTAGTTTAATGTCCACCTTCTATGAATAAACAGACTCATTTCTGTGGGCTGTCAAAAAAAAAAAAAAAAAAAAAAAAAAAAAAAAAAGGGCTGGTTGCCAGAAGAACCAATCACATGATTAGGGTTAGACCTTTCAGCCCTGCCCCTGACCTCCAAGGAGGAGAGGAGGGCTGGAAATTCAGTTCAAGCACCAATGGTCTGAGATTTAATCACAATTGCCTACCTAATGAGGCCTCCACAAAACCCAAAAGGACGGGGCTCGGAGAGCTTCTAGGTTGGTGAACATGTGGAGACTGGGGAGAAGTCCCACTTGGAGAAGGCATGGAGGCTCCGTGTCCTTTGCCCACAACTTGCCCTGTGCATCTCTTCCATCTGGCTGTTTCTGAGTTACATTTTTTAATAATAAACTGGTGATTTAGTAAGCAAAATGTCTCTCTTGAGTTCTGTGAATGCTCTAGCAAATTAATCAAATCAAGGAAGGGGTTTTGGAACCTCCAATCTATAGCCAGTTAGTGAGAAGCACAGGTAACTACGAGGACTTCCAACTGGCATCTAAAGTCAGGGGCAGTCTTGTATGACTTAGCCCTTAATCTGTGGGATCTGATGCTATCTCTAGGTACATAATGTCAGGATTGAGTTAAATTGTAGGTCATCCAGCTGGTGTCAGAACATTGCTTGGTGGTGTGGGGGGAAAAAAAACACATTGTAATCGGTGTCCGAATCGTAATTCACACTGCCATTTTGAGAATTACATAAAGCAATGCTCAAAAGTTCTTATCATTGTATCAGGCACATAGCATAACAAGGGTTAGACTCAAGATTGCTTTAAGACCAGCATGCAGGAATAACAGTAGGAAACAAGGTCCTCTGCAGACAGAGACCACCCCTAACTGAAGGGAGCAGAACTCTGGGTCCAATAGGAAGCTTGGGGCCTGCTAAGAGATGGTATTAGAATGTAATGAAGTCAGAATTTGAATCCATATGTGCCTGACCCCAAAGCCCATGCTCTTTTCACTATGCATCCTGATTCTGATCTCAGTCATTCAGGGCTGGAAAGTTGGGAGTGATTTGGAACCACTCAGGCAGGATTCTTCTCAGGGCTCAAAGTAGAAAAACAGGTAAGTCTATAATTCTGCAGACCCGCATCCCTTGGTGAGCCCCACTTCTAGCATCACCATCCCCGGAGGAAAGCCCCTGAAGATTCACTTCCCCAAACAAGATGGGGACAACTGTCCTGAAAATCTCACCCCCTCAAACCTTCTAAGAAGGAAGGTTTCCTAGCTAAGTCTCAGATATGAGGTCAAATCAGAGAAGGGGAAGCATCAAAGGGAACATGCACAAGAAGGAGCCTAGGCCCAAAGCTGGCCCCTCCTATAGACAACTCAAGCCAGGGTCTTGGATGACCGTACACTCTGGTTAGTCAGGTCTCACTAGTGAGAAGCAAGGATGTT